GAGAGTGAAAGTCAGTTCAGAAGCTTCAAAAGAGAGTGAAGTTGAGATAGAAGGAAAAAACAAAGGAGGGAAATAAATTAGGTGGGGTCCACAAACGGAAATTCCACTGAAAATTCGAAATGGGTGGTAATCTGCGCGCTTATTTAATTTAATGGGTGGTTAAATAAAAATAATTTTGTTTTGGGTGGTTATGTTAATATTGGTCTTATTTTTGGGTGGTAATTTACAAATTACCCTTTTAGTTTTTATATTTTTTTTATCCACTCGTGTAGTGATACATGTCATTTTGTAAATTTTTTTTAAAAAAAAAACCCAACGTACGGGTTCTGATCACAAGGGACTAGTAGAAGAGAATGTCGTATAAAAGTGGGATTATTAGATAATAATCAAAAGATGGGATTATTAACAGCGAACCGGTCAAATGTGGGATTATTAAAAGTAAATTTTCCTTTATCAACCTATCAATAATTAGAGTATAATAATCTTCTTCAAAAAAAAAAAACAAAATCTTTTTCATCCAGTATTTTTTCTATAAAATTTTTTGTATTGAAAGAAAAAAAAAATTTAATTTTTTTATATCTTATATAGTACTCTAAACCTGCCTGATACCTAGAAATTTGTTGCAAACTCCATTAACAATGTAAATTGTCCACATATTTCCATCCAAAATAAACGATGTATGTATATTTACTGATTTAAAAAAAAACAAAAAAAAGTTGCGGCTCAATGATTTTCTTCAATTTTGGGGCTCAATGGTTTTCTTCATTTTTTCTAGTATGAACAGATCAATTAAAGTAGGATGAGGAGGAAAAAAAATTTGCTTCAAAAAAGGAGGAACAAAAATTACTACCTCCATTTCATATTTTTTGCAACTTTTGTCAAAAATAGATGCTACACATTATTTGCAACTAATGTTTTATATCCTTTTTAGGTTGTCATTTCTCTCTATCTCTATCTCTCTCCTCATCACATGCATTCCTATTTTTCTCTCCATATCTTACACTCACAAACAAATTTTGCCTAGAAATCCGTGCAACCTTCAAAGTTGCAAAAAATGTGAAATAGAGGTAGTAACTAATATGTTTCAAAAAAAAAAAAAAAAACTAATATTTCTTTTTATTAAAAGAGATGCACTGTTTCTTCAAAAAAAAACAAAAAAAAAAATATCCAACTAAAAAAAAGGGGATATAAATTTAAAAGGAATCTAAAAGGGATTAACTTCAAGAAAAACAAAAACAAAATCTAATGTATATAAATAAAGTAGGCATTTTTTAAGAGCATTCGGCGCGCCACATAAGCAAAGGCATTATTTCGACCAATTAAAAATTAGATTTCTATTTTATTTTAGAATTAAAAAATTCGTTTGCCACCTAAGTAAAAGTGACGAATGAGATTTAAGAGTTTTGCCACGTAAGTAAAAACAACGAATATTGATTTATTAGGATTTAATTTATTTAAAAAACTAAAAGTTATCTTTTAAACTAATCATCTTTAGATATAGGATTTATATACCTACTATTATAAGATAAATTTTGATAGTGTTTATGATAAGAAATAAAAATTATTCCTTAATTATAATTAAATTAAAATTTGTGAATTTACCATTATAAATTGATGTATCATATCACACCAACAAAATTGCGTATCAATACAAAACCAAACCAAGCAAATTTTATGTCATTAATTTGTGTCAGTTTTATTAGGTCATAAATGGTTGGGTATTCTTAGCCTAATTTTTAAAACCCATGTTTAAATGTATATTTGTGATTATTGATTAAATTGTGTTTATTTGGGATACTTAATGATTATATGTTTATGTTTTGTTTACTGAATTTCATTTTTACATGCAGATCTAATTTAATCAGAGAATTAAATTCGAGCAAAAATCTTTGGAATATCAAAGTACGAGTTTCTCGCTTGATAATCTTATTAGATGAGAAGGTATTATATCTTTATAAATCGTTTACATTTATTAAATCTTTTAATGAACCTTTTAGTTTTTATCAATTAATTTTATGATTAAAACAAATTATTTGTTATTTAGGTAGCTTAATTAAGTCATAAAATTAACTTAATTTTTTATTTTTAATTATAGGGTGATTACGTTCCCTCAATTAAAGTCAACTTTGTTCTACAATTTTTTTCAAAATTGATTATTATAATTTTATTTTTATTTTTGATTTTGTTCTACAAATAATGATTTAGGATTTAAATTATTTTAAAAAAAAATTATTATCTTTTCACATTAAGATTTTATGCTAATATGTAATCAATGAAATATCATATTTACTTTTTTTTTTCTTAGATATCATATTATTGTTGTATAACCAACAACAACGAATAAAACACAAAACAACAATAAATTAAGTGGCATTATAAATTACATTAAAATAAATATACTTTTATAATTAGCAATATCATTTTAATTAAATTATTATTATTATTATTTTGTCTGAAATTATTAAATTGTAAAATAAATCAAATAATTATTTAAAAAAAAACTTAGAATATATAGGAAAATATCTTTTTTTGAGATATATGTATGACAATCGTGCATCGCACGGTATTATTTCAACCAATTAAAAGTTAGATTTGTATTTTATTTTAGAATTAAAAAATTCACTCGCCACATAAGCAAAAGTGACAAATGAAATTTAAAAATTTTGCCACGTAGGTAAAAACGACGAATAATGATTTATTATTTAAATTATTTTAAAACTAAAAATTATCTTTTTTAAAACATGATCTTTTGATATTAGGATTTAAATTAAAAAAAACTGTAAATTAAATAATTATTATATACAAACACTTTAAAATTAAATATTTGAAAAAGGAAAAATATGTTCATTTTGTTTTTAAGAAAACGTTCAATCAATTTTCTTTAAAAAAAATTAAGAGAAATATAAATTATTAATAATTAACTAATATTCTTCAAGTTTTTTCAAAAAAATCAATATTCTTCAAAAAAAATAAATAACAATAATGTTTAGTCTTTATCAATATTCTTACAAAAAATAAAAAAATAAAAAAATGTTCAATTTTTATCTTATCTGCAACCCATTTCATGATTAGATAAAATTTTTATAAGGATTTATTTGCTACTCCACAAATATATAAGATATGATGATATTAAAGATTTGTATACATCCTCTCAAAAATATAATTTTCATTTTTTTTTTTCCAATTGAAAATAGACATTATATATATAATATACAAAAAACACAAACATGTGAATATTATTTATCTACATTTTTTCATGGTGTGAATTTTTTTCAGGTCTAATTCGTTGATTAACAAAAAATATTGGAAATAATGTAAGTATATTAAGGCTTTCTGATGGTAAACAAAATAAATTGATTGTTATTCATTATTTTATAAGATGTATGTTTTGTTTTATCTTACCTAATCTAATTATGTTACTTATCGTAATTAATTTTGTTAAACAACTTAGTTGTAACTTAATATTAATTATTCAGTATTTGAAGGGATTATGTCCATGCGCTAATTGAAAGAAATTATTGGAAAAGTAAGGGTTTGTTCTCTTCAGCTTATTCTCAATTCAGTTCTGTTCAGTTCCTAATTTCCCTTTCTCATAAAATATTCAGTTCAGTTCAGCTTCAATCAGTTCAGTTCACCTCAGCTCAGTTTAGTAAATTGGAACAGACCCTAAGTCAACTATAATGTTACAATAGTAGGGAAAAAAAAATAAAGATTATAAGAGATGTCTCTGATAATTTTTATTTTTTTGTGTATTATAGTTTCTGGTAGAATATCTATATTATTATTGTAAAAATCATTGTGGTAGTGTATACATATAACTCTATTATTAAGACATATGATAATGAAATTTCATTATAAAGATTTAATTTTATTCAATTGGATTAATTTTAGTAATGCAACACTCTTGGTAGTGTATATATCTTTTACTATTACTCCCATCATCTTTATTTTAACCCTATAGTTTTGGGTTTACTTTATTAATTTTTTATTGTATAAAGTTAATACGGAGTAAAAGAATAATGATGATCTAAGTTATTGTTTGTGAAAGAAAAATAGTAATTCTATAACTATATATGTATAGTGGAACAACGTGTTTTCGTTATACAAACGAATCATAGGTTAAAAAAAGGGATTTGTTAAACGTCGCCCGCAAATCTCCACATAAAGCCCACAAATATTTTTACTTTGACTCTTTTGCCCTTTTTCTAATTTTTACCGAAACCGTAATTCACTCTCACGAAGAATGTGGAGCTGGAGTGGATCGCCGAGGGACACCGAAGAGCTGTCATCGTCGCCGGAAAACGAGATAATCCGGGGGAAAAATTACGAAAAGTAGGGGTGGCGTCTGGTCAGGACGCCGCCACCATGGCTGTGGCGTCCTGGCCAGATGCCGCCACCATGGCTGTGGCGTCCTGGCCAGACGCCGCCACCATGGCTGTGGCGTCCTGGCCAGACGCCACCCCTACTTTTTGTAATTTTTTTTTTATTTTTTTTGTAATTTTATTTAAACTTTTTGTAATTTTTTTTAAATTTTATTTAAATTTTTTGTTTTTTTTAATTAAACATTAACACAAAAAATTCTGATTTTAAAAAAAATATATACATTAGAAATAAAAACATTAACACATAAAACAAAAATATTAAACATTAACAAAAGAATTCTGATTTTCCAAAAAAAAAAATATTAGACCAAAAAAAAAAAAAAAAAGTGGTAGGGCGCCTGGCCAGGACGCCCAGCCCCTGGTGGTGGCGTCTGCTCCGGCCGCCGGGACCAGGGGGCTGGCGTCTGACCTGGACGCCCAGCCACGGCGGTGGCGCCTCTGGAAAACGCCACAACCGTGGCTAGGCGTCCAGGTCAGACGCCAGTCCCCTGGTTCCGGCGGCCGGAACAGACGCCACCACCAGGGGCTGGGCGTCCTGGCCAGGCGCCCCACCTCTTCTGGTTTTTTTTAAATTTTTTTTTTAAAAAAAAAACCCTGCCACCGTGAGCCGTCCTTCCCTCCGCCGCTGTGGCCGCCAAGTCCTTGCCTTGCCGCCTCAACATTGCCGTATTTTCGGGTGATTAAAGTGTGGGTATGGGTTAGATTTTTTTATTTTAGGTTTAGGGCAATAAGGTAAATTCAATACAGATTTGTGGGCTTTATGTGGAGATTTGCGGGCGATGTTTAGCAATCCACTAAAAAAATACTTTATTCCAATATCTATCGTACTTATAATTTTCATATCAGCTCTCATTTCTCCAACTCCACTCACTTCTCCTCTTCTTCCTCCTCTCCTCTCAGTCTCACTTCTCTTTTTAGTCTCTCATTTCTCCACTTCTCCTCCTCCTCTCATCGCCATCGTCTTCTTCCTCTGACAGAGATGGACGCCGCCGCCGCAGCCCACCGACGCCACCGTCATCACAAGCCCACCGACGCTACACACCGTCAAGGTTTTTGAATTATAGATCTTGGTTTAATTTAGTTTAAAAGAGGTATTTGGTTTTTGTTAAACTAGAGTGAAAATTATTGGGTTTTTCATTGAGGTATTTCGATAGTTGTGCTAGATTGCCTAGATATACGACCTTTAAGGTCTGCTTCAATTTCAGATTTTCAAATATCTTCATTTTTCTTTTTGTTATGTTGATGTTTGATGGTGGTTGTTTTGGTTTGTTGATGTTTGATAGTGGTAGTCCATATCTGATGAGCATATGCCTTTTCTTTTAATTTTTTTTATTTTTAATTTCTTGTTGTCTTACCCAAAAAGAACCACAAAATTGTTGATACTGATAATATTTTAACGCTGAACCTCTGTGATTAACGACAGGAATTAAAATTGGGTTTGGGTTAAAATTGATTTGGGGCTGAAAATAAAAGGCAAAATCCGGTCCAACAGGTCAAATCCGGACCGGACCGGGCCGGTTTGCATTTGTAATTTGGCTGAAAATTGCCAGTGGGTTTCAGTTGTAATTAGGAATGATTGTAAATTTTTAGTTTTGCCTCAAAAAAAAAAATAAAAATAAAAGAGTTAAAATTTTAATTTTAAAAGAAATTGCAATTTTTTTTATTGCCTAAAATATGTAGTGCGCTAAACTCTACCTAGTTTATGGTAACTATGTTTAGATTAAGCATAAAGTTATGATGATTCTATCTTTCAAAAAAAAGTTATGATGATTCTACAAACATTGTTATCGAAAATACAGGATAGTATTTTGTAAAAAAGTTTTTTTTTTTTTTTTTTAAAAGCCGTACATATAACTAAATCCCAACCCTAACTTCGTGTCATATTCTGCAGTGTTTAAATAAAATAATAAAATATAAAGGTGTAGAATTATATCCATCCTAAGATTCCTAACCTAGTTAGCGTGTTAATCTCATAGGATTATAACTTTATAAATATATACTTATTAATGCTGAATTTATTCATTAGTCGACTTGTTATAATGAATACTCATAGAATGAAGGCCGTCATGTTAGCGCTGGTGTTGGCAGGGAGCGTAGCTTATTTCTGTTTTTTCATAAAATTTTCTGGTACAATTCTCCATCTTACTATTTCTTGCTTTTAATTTTTATATTCAATTATCAATTGTCTCTAAATCGACAGTGATTATGTTTTTTTAATTTGACGAATTGAAGAATATGTTTTATGATTTTGCTTTGTGACGTTATTGTTTTAACGGTTTAACCTAATTATTTTTATTTTATTGTAAATATTTAGAAACCCTCCATAATCTTGTCGTTCAATTCTTCTTTACCATAAAATTAAACGAAAATTTGTTGTTTTTTTTTTTAAACAATAAACAAAATATTGTTTGGGCTTTTATTTTTGTAAATTTCTTCATAAAAGCTGTAAATAAGTATAAATCTCAAGACTTGTCGTATAGTTGTTTAATTTTCGTTTAATTGGAGTTAAATTAGAGTGAATTAGAATATATAGATTTTATTATTGTAAATTGCGATTAAGATTCAAATTTTTATAGTTGCTACAAATTTTTTGTACCTATTATTGTTAAATAGTACTCGTATGAATATTTTGTAAGAGTAATTTAATTTAAGAATTTTGTTACTTTGACGTTGCAGACACAATGGAACCATTAATTTTATTGAAGATCGACTATCCAATCACCTCGGATTCTGACAGTCAAATCGCGTCGAATTCAACAATCGAAACCCATTTTCTCCAACCTTATTTTATGTACCGTCATTACAAGCATACAATGGCCAATATCACTGACCATGAGAAGTGGGAGATTGATATAAACAGGAGCCTGTTATACGGTTTAATGACATTAATGATTTTGCACATTTTTGTAGTAGAATTTGCTATTCCGTACTACCGTAGAAAATATTATACGAGTAATTGAATGATTACTGCCTAGGTAGGAAAAGCTTTGAAATATTTGTATTAGAACAAGAAAAATTTTACTTTATGAAGTGTTTAATTTTTTTAGTTTAAATTTTATGTCAGTTTAAAAATTCGGGTTTGGGTTTCTTTCACTCTCCTTGATTTTTATGAATGAGTTGTATTAATACATTAAATAGTGCGTTATAGATTTTATGGTGAAAGTTATGTTATTTATTTATTTTTTTTTCAACGGGTACAAACAAATTTAGTTGTGGCCTTGTGGGTACTTGGTGGGTAGAAAGTACGGAGTATGAAGTAAAGTATTTTCCTCCTATTTGAAAAAAAACCAGCTTAAAAATTAGTGGCAGAGAAACAAATTGAAAAGCAGAAGTCAGAGTTTGTGACAAAGCACGAACGAAAGGTAAAAAAGAACGTCCGTCCTCAGGGATAAAAACAAATTTGGTAGGCCTAATAGAAGAATATTGGATATACAGATATAACTCATATAAAACATAAAATATCTCAAACAAGCCTAAAACAATCTTTTAGGTATGACTGTATGATTACATTTACTCATGTCATAGAATATAAAGAGGGGTCTAACATACTCTCAGCTAAGGGTGGTGGTTTCTGGAACTTGGTGGATTAATTACTATCAAGAATGTGAATCCTTAGTTTGTGTATTACTTTGTAAGGGTATATATACAACCTATGTTAGGGCCTAAACATTAGCCCAATAGTTAAACTAAATACAATAAATATTGGCTTAACACTCCCCCTTTAAGTTGGAGTATGCAAATCACAAATGCCCAACTTGTCCAATAAATACAAAAATTGTCGCTTGTCCAAAGCTTTTGTAAAAATATCAGCAAATTGTTCATTAGTCTTAACATGCGCTGGACTAATAATACCTTCTTGTATGGCATCATGAACGTAGTGGCAATCAACCTCAATATGCTTTTGGGATTAGGTGGATATCTAAGTTGGGGGGCGGGGTGGGGCGGGGATGGTTTAGGGATTGTACCTGCCGGGGTGGGGATGGGAATGAATTTTGGACCCGTCGCAGGGATGGGGGTGGAGATGGGTTAAGAATGTTAGGCGGGGATGGGAATGGGAAAATCAACATCCGCCCGCCCTGCCCCATTGACATCCCTATTGCATAATAGTATCTAAAATTTTATTGCTATAATACTTCAACCTACTAATTGTACGTACGGAGTATATCAAAATATACCCTTATCACTAAACTTATGGCCTAATTCCACCATTTTTTTTATTATTATTTTTCATTTTAGTTTGAAGAATTTTTTTCATTTATTCAAAATGTCATAATTTAGGAAACTTATGGGCTAAAAATAGATTAATTGAAATTTATAAAATATAAGTAATTTATTGAAAAAAAAACTCTAAACTAACACTTTTATCTTAAAAATCTATCCAATTTTTATTGAAAATAAAACTCTAGTCTAACTTTTTTAATCTTATAAATCTATCTAAATCTATCCAATATATTTATCCTATTTATCATACTGGTACTAATTATTAATTGTCGCATACGTAGCGTGACACTTGACATAAAATTGAAATGTCAAGTTTCGATATCTCGTGACCTGGCTAAAAGTGTAGCTTTATATATTAGTTACTAGTTTTATGCCCGGGCGATGCCCAGATTGTCCTAAACTCTCTAGCTTGAATGTTAAATACAATCATATAACCCCTTTTGATAATGTAAAATATTTAGACATATGATATCATATTGGTTATTTATATAATATTGTACTTTTTGTAATTTATTTGTAAATAGAATATCTATGTTATTATTAACTTGATTTTTTTTTATTGCACTTAAATTTTTTTTTTTTTTTTGAATCATGCACTTAAATTTTTTTAATGAATTGAAAGTATTTTTATCAAACTAAAATTATTATTTTTGATTAAAACTTGTATCTACTGATATTCTATTTTTTATTAAAATTTATTATAAATGGATCTCATTTTAAAGAACTTTTTACAACGAATTTTATGATGAAAATAGTAATGAGTTGTTAGATATTTATTAAAATTTATAATTAATTTTGTATATATGAAATATTAGAAATATATCTATAATAAAACACTATACAACATTTTTATCCTAAATAAATTTATCCAAAATTCGCTTACCTAGCATCCTATGTGTCACAATAATACCTATTTGTCGCCTATGTGGCTCGACACTTGGCATATGTGGCTTGGCTGCGAGACCGGCTTTATATATTAGTAACTAGTTTTGTGCTCGGGAGATGCCCGGGTTGTCCTAAACTTTTACCTTAAATACGATAATATAACCCTTTTTGATAATGTAAAATATTTAGACATACAATATCATATCACTTATTTATATAATAGTGTACTTTTTGTAGTTTTATTTGTAAATAGATATCTATGTAATTATTAATTTGATACTTTTATTTCACTTAAATTATTTTTAATTTACTGAAAGTATTTTTTCTAATTAAAACTTATTTTTACTGAATTTCTATTTTTTACTAATATATTATAAATGGATCTCATTTTAAGGAATTATTTAAAACAAATTTTATGATGGAAATAGTACTGAGTTATAAGATATTTATTAAAAGTTATAGTTAATTTTGTATATATGAAATATTAGAAGTATATCGATAATAAAACATTATACAACATTTTTATCTTAAAAAAATCTATCCAAAATTCGCTTACTTAACATCATATGTGCACAATAATACCTACTTGTCGCCTACGTGGCTCAACAATTGGCGAAAAAATAGAATGCCAAGTGTCGTCTCGTGGCCTAGCTCCGAGACCAGCTTTATTTATTAGTGATATGATATGATATTAAATTGTGCATGCATGTACTTGTTAATCACAACCTTTATAATTAGAAAAAAATAATATTAATAGACAAGTTATGCATGTTGGATTTAAGTTGATGGGCTAACATTAAACCCATTAATATAATTGGGTTAGGCGTACCGGATTCGTGTCGACCCAATTAATTAAATGAGTCGAGAATTCTTGACCCAAACCTGCTTATTTCGAGTCAGGTTCATGCTTGGTTATCGTGTTGTGTCAGCTTTTGTCAGCCCTAAGACGATGGGAGTATAATATATATTTTCAAAAAGTCTAATTTAAAAAAACCTAACTAAACATATATAACACTAACTTCTAATTTATTTACTACCTAGTAATACTTATTTTTCCACTTCCTTTTACTTACAACACTAAGATTTTGACATTATTGCACATGCTCTCTCTTATTATGTCATATTGTGCTATATACGAAAGGAAAAAAAAAAAGGTTATGTGAAATGTTAGATTCGTCTAAATTTTACTTTATTATAATTTATTTTTTTTTAATTTCGTGAGTGGTTGAGATATGCGTAATGCAAATCAACTTAATTTATGTAACAAAGATTCAAAGGGATTAAAAACAAAAAGGAAGGATGCAGAAGTAATTATACTATTTAATTTCAAACCATTTATTCTCATTTGTACTTTAATATAGAAATTCAGATGAATCTAACAACGCCACAAAGAGTATATTTTTCGTAACGTATAAAATGCATAAGACAATTAAAAAAGTGTGTATAAATAGTATAAAATCTCAAAAGTTTTTCAAATATTGTAATTAAAAAAGAACGAGGATATAGTGTGTATATCAACGAAACCGGCACAACACGAACACGAAGTTACTAAGAGAAAACACGAAGTCAACATGACATACACAAAATCAACCCAAGCATTATTCATTTAGATAGATAAAGTGGTCAAATTATGAAATTATCTTACATTTTACATATTTTTCATAAATTTGGTGAACAACACAAAATAGACACGAGACCAAACACGAACACAACACGAATTTTTGCTAGCTTCACTCAAAAGCGAAAGGTTGATTTTTAAATTACATAATTTTTATTTTTAAATTACGCACGCATCAACCCAACTAGTTTATTGAAATCAGTTATATATAATTCAATGCGCTCGTACATATTAAATTATTAAGACATCCAGTAGCTTAGTGTTAGAAACATTTTTCTTTAATAATTATCAAAGGTTGCGGGTTCAATACTCCTAGCAGCCATTTTTATTTGGGTTTTGGGCTTTTCGAAGATTCCCTGATAGAGTGACGAGGAGATACCCACCAAGACTTATCCAACAAGTCAACAACCCATTTATTGCACTTTTATTTTCCTCGTTAAAAGAGTACTCCGTAACTATTTAGGTACTCCATAGTAAACTAGTAATAGATTAATTTGTCTTAGAAAAAAATTAATTTTTAAAAAAAACTAATAGATTTCTTTCCCAAAAAAAAAAGAAAAGAAAAAATACCTAAGGGTTCGTTTGGAATCGTTTTCAGTTTTTCGTTTTTTTTAAACTGAAAACCGATTTTAGTTTTTGATTCTTTATTTTTGAAAACTGTTTCCATTTCTCAGGTTTGAGTTTACAATCAACTCTCATATTACCAAATCATGTATAGATTCTAGATTTAATCAACTCTTATACTGCTTATAATTAGTTTTTTTATTATTATTATTATTATTATTATTATTATTATTATTATTTATTTATTTATTTTTAATTTTTTTAATAGCTGCTTATTTATTTTTACAAAAAGAAAATTATACATATTTCAATAATAAATTTATTGATTGAATAAAGTTATAACAAAATTTAAAGGAACAAGTAGAAAAAAAAGGTAACAATGAAATACTCGTAGTAAAATGCAATGTAATATTTATTTCTCGTTGATAACTTTTATTGTGAAATTTGTCTTTCCAACAATCGTTTAGCCAAACAATCTCAAAACCGAGCCATTCTTTGAAGTTCTTGTTGACTTGCAGAATGAGTCACTAGGTCCTCGGATCCATTGTTATTGATTGCATATACTACCTAAGGGGAAAATGAACGATCGATCACAAATAAAACTCCTACTTGATCCAAACTGTATAATCTCTTCGTACCTTTATGCAAATAAAAATAATCTAAGCTCCTTATCATATCTAGAATGTCCATGACCACACTTGCTCCACCGATGACGTTTTCGGTGAGTTTAGCGCTTTCACTACATTTTCACAGTCTGATCTGATTATGATATTCTTATATTGGCTGATGTTCTCTTTAATTGCCCACCAGACTGTATACCCTTCTGCTTGCTCCGCACTTGTAGCAAATATTTTCCTTGCTCACCCTTGGCTTGTAGCATTTTTGTCATCTAGAGTCCATGCCACCGCTGCTTCCGATCCCATCCCGACTTATCTTACAATTTTCAAAATGAGTTGACATGACATGAAAAACAGTGAATAATCAAAATTCCATTATTGCTGATGACCCGAATTGAATGTATGAAAGTGAATAAGGGATAAATGATTATTACGAGTTACCTAATTCCATTGTTATAATTGTAGGTCCTTAGAAAGCAAAACCATTTGTCTCCCATTACAATCTCTTAAGCTTCAATTAAAAGAACTAATTCTTATGTAGAAAAGCAAGACACAACATTAATGTAACAATTCCAGCTACATACAGCTAGCACACATAGATAGCAATAATATAACCTCTTAGCAACCACAAGCCATCACTACTCCAAAGTCAAGGCATAAAGCTTCAATTCACCCCAAATTTTCAAAATTGATTACGTTACAAGCATAAAATTCATACTTCCTACTTCCTGAACAACAAATTCCCAAAATATTAAACATAATGCACACAAATTATCAAATAATTAGCTAAAACTTCCTTCTTTGAATTAACTAAAACATAATAACATCATAGTAGGGGCAATTAAGAATTAGAATCATAGAAAATTCAATCAATACGAGTGTTGATTGTAACAATTAACAACACTCGTGTTATTTCAGAAAAAAAATCCTCAAATATAAAATAATCCCAAAATAAATTATATACAAATTAGACAAATAACGATTAAAATTCAGATAAATAATGAACAAATTAATCAAAGAAATTGAATACAACGAACAAAATTTAACAACAAAAGCATCAATAAATTGACAGAACAATGGGGAGAAACGTGGTGAATGTGATTACAAATGAAATTAAAAGAAAAGAGAGAGGAGAACGCTCCATACCTGCAATTGCTTGCTCCTTGGATCTTGAGAATGATTAGAGGAAGAAAGATGAGATATTGAATTTGAAGGAGAACAATCGATGATACGCTTTGATAGGTTTATTATTTTTTTTTTTAAAAAATCAATACCTCAAAAACTGCTTTGAGGTGTTTTAGGTTTACCGTTTTATTTTTTACAAAATAGCTGTAAAGTTTTTTTTAAAGCTATTTTACTAAACACTGTTTTATTTTATTTTGGGGGTAAAAAACAAAAAAAAAACCAAAAACAACAATGATGCCAAACACACCCTAATAGATTAATTTCAAAACTTAAAATATTAGGGAGTTATTTTAAATATTTGCATAGTCAAATTATTAGTTGTAATTATGCCATTTAATTTCATTCTATATTCTTAGATCCTGTTCTTTTGAGCTGTTTTGCTATGCTCTGCTATGCTTTACTTAAAAATAATCATTAATAATAATAATAACAATAATTAATATTTAATAATAATAATAATTAATATTTTATAATAATAATAATAATAATAATAATAAAATAATGCGATAATAATAATAATAAAAAAAATTTGTATAAAAAAAAACCTTTTAAATGCCTCATTTTGCAAGAAAAAACCTTTTAAACGATTCCTTGTTTAAAAAAACCACCACGATCACTTTTTTTGTTCAATGAAACCTGGGTTCTCTTTTCAGGCATTGACTCCCAATTTCAGGCGTTGACCCATGAGTTTTCCTACTTGCAGCCTACAGTTGGATAATTGCACTCCCCCTTTTATATTTCCCTCTTATTTTCCCTCTCCTCCCTCCCAGCCACCCCCATTATTATTATTATTATTATGAAATTTTCTCTGCTCTGCCCAAAAGCTCAAAAGAACAGGGCCTTAGTGTCTTTGAAGCGTCCAAACCCATAAGATATTTTTTTGGAACAACCATTGGAAAAGAGTCCATACAAATGCGTTCATTACAATTTGGGGTCGGTTACAATAACAACAAGCCTTAGTCTCAAAATGATTTGGGGTCGTCATAAGTAACTGTACAACATAAAAAAGTGGCATAACAAGATAATCAGTTGTAAGGTTTTGAAAATAGGTGTGTAAAGTGAGAAAAAAGAAGAGCATGTAAGTAAAAATTAAGTGAGTTTTAAATGTAAATCAATAATGAAATTCAAAAAAGTTTTAAGAAAGTGATAAAACCTGTGCGTTAAATTTAAGGTTTGAGAAAACTTTAGCAATGGAAATCAATGCAGTTCATAAACCACGAATTGGGTAAATTAATATTCATTACAAGGTTAAAGTGAAAAATGAAGGACTAAGACTTGTTCTATTCAACTTATTTTATATTTTTGTTCAGATCAAGTCAAGTCATATTAGATCAGAATTAACCAAACCAGATTAGAAAAATTTAGATAAAATCAGTTAAAACCAAACCTAAGCATATACTATATCATTATTACGAATTATTATTATTATTATTATTATTGTTATTGTCGCAATTTTTGTTTAATGTATCCGTACGTTTATTCCTTGGTACAAGAAAAGGTACACAAAATCCGGTAGTTTCTGATAAAAATCGTTTGCATCCAAAATCTAAGAAATGCGTTCTTTCCCCCTCAAAAAAAAAAAAAAAAAAAAAAAAATAATAATAATAATAATAATATCAAAATAACGGCCAAACTAAAACAAACCCCCTTTCTCTCTCCTCACTCTTCCCTCCACCATAACAACTTACATAATACAAACCTCCTTACAATAACGAACTTTGATTCCTTATTACAGCCGGCTTTGTAAAACCACCTCAAAACTCCATTTACACCCTCAGTTCTCAGCTCAAGCTCACAACAATGGCGTTTCTCTCTCAAAAACTCTCTTTCCTCTTCTTCCTCCTAGCCATCATTACCTCTTTCAATCTAACTTCCTTCACCAACAACACCTCATCCTCAACCCCAACTCTCGGTGTAACTATCAACCATCTCCCCTCATCGGCCACCCCTGAAAGCATCGTCGCCGCCGTCACCCACCACCGAATCGCAGCCGTACAACTCACTGACCCAGACCCCAACCTCATTCGGGCTTTCGCTAACACCTCTGTTTCATTGCTCCTGAGCATACCAAACCACCTTGTTCACTTCATTGCCGCCAATTGCTCTAACGCCGCCATCTGGCTTCACACTCACGTTGTCCCTTTCTACCCTCGGGTCAACATCTCCACCATTTCGGTTGGCTCTGAGTTTCTGTCCATCTGTAAGTGTAATTGTTGTTAAGATATATAGGCATAATTGGAGAGTGTGTTCATCACTTGAAGGATTACTGTATTTGTTATCACAGTACATGCAGGGTCATTAGTTATATGCCATTACTGTAAGTGTAGTTGTGTAAAACAAGGACTACTGCAAGTGTTAAGTGTAAGTGTGGGTTTGTGTAAACATATTTTGCAACTGTTATTTGGTGGATATCGCGTTGGAGGAATTGTGTAGTGTTTTAATTCAGCAAACTTGCTCCAACTCCAAGTTCCTGCACTATCCCACGTTTCTGCCACAGTAGCACCATCAATGTTTTGCATAATTGTTGTTAATCAAATAGATCATTTTCATAAATTCTACATTGACAATTGATTTCACAAAAAGTTTTGTTAATAAACTGATTTTTACATGGCAGGAACATATTACTCTATTTAATGTTCATCGCCTTAAGCCTAATCAGTTTTCCATCCACTGGCACACTCGGAGGAGCTCCGTTAGCAGAGAGTTGTCAGAGCTTCCTGGAAAGACTTCTGAATCTGGATTTCGATCTGTCAACACCTAAGGGACTAAAGGTCTCGTTACAGATTGGTGTTCCAGCCATCATCATCTCTATGATGTTTTATTGCTGTAAATGCTCTAAAAAGACAGCACAAGATCCTGCAGCTACCCCAACGAGCATGGTTCAGCTTGCAGCTACCCCAACGAACATGGTTCAGCCTGCAGCTACCCCAACGAACATGGTTCAGCCTGCAGCTACCCCAACGAACATGGTTCAGCCTGCAGAACCAAATGAGAGTGTCATTGAAGAAGTTTGAGAGAATCCGCGAGGTGGATCTTCCATAGCAGCAAAATGAGGCTCTTCCATGCATTTTAGTTTACATGCTTTGTTACAATAAAGGTGCTTTGATGTACGTTTGACTGAGGAACTTTTGTGTTACATCGCATATTATTTCACATAAATCTGCATCAGATATCTTGCAAAAATTAGCACATAAATCTTTATGAAGTCACCTACCATATATAGCTAATGTTTCACTCACAAGCTACTGCATCACTCCTACAAAGTCTTGAGATAAATACACTACAACGCATGTGACATATGCACCCATACAAAAATCATCTTTCCTATTTTTATAAGCAGAAATCCCACCCCAATCTGACGGGGTTTGCCAATAATTGTATCGCATTGGGAGACTTGGTTTAGACTTTAGAGGCTAAAGTTAGAAATTGGCCAACTAACATGATAGTTCAAAGACGAAATGTGATCAAGTTAATCTGGCGTAGAATCATCTTTTGGATGTTGAGATGATAGCTCTTCAATTAAATATACCAGAGAAGTTATAAAAAGAATTATAATCAAAATGGTGATTAAAGAGATTAATCAAGAATATAATTAGATTGGAGAATTACAACAATACAGCCTCCAAGCTCATAACAGGGTGCATAGTCACAGGTCTGATGCCAACTGAGAAGACAGAAGACAGCACCAATGTCTAGTTTATGCACATCTAACAAAAAATTTCTGCAAGGCTATAACTTCCACTCCTCCAATATATCTTACCACACACGATCCAACACCAACATTCCCCCATTACCAGCGGAACTACGGAGTATTTTAGAAAGAAAAGATCTAAAAACAAACACCAATTGCCTTGTTGTAGTGTTTGGTTGAAATGTTAACCTATGGTGTTGAATTGTTCCTTATTGGTCAGATATAAAAACCAAAGGGCAAATGTGATTCCCTCTATACGTGGTCATATTTGAGAGAATGTGAGATGGTGACAGGTTCTAGGTAAGCGAATTTGTGAGAGTGTTAGTGATGTCAGGGTTAGTGGTGTGAGATGGTGGTGACCAGAGGTGTTTAGTTGAAATTAGGTAGCTGGCAAACTATGGTAGGTTTGGGGAGGGATAGAGAGGAGAGGAGAGAGTCATGTAGTTCACTTCTTTTCATCATAAACATGCAAACATTTTGAAAAGGATTGTATTTAAAAAAATATAAAAATCCCAATAATGATTTCTTATCCTTATTTTCATTTCTTGATTGTTGTCCTACCTCTTATTTGAACCAAAATTACTATTTAATCCCTTTGTTGAATAGAAGGAATATTTCCATGTAATGGACAAGAATAAAATAAAATAAAAAAATAAAATAAAATAAAAAAAAAAAAAAAAAAAAAAAAAACTCCTATGATCTCTAAAAATCTTAAAAGGCCTTTACTAGAGTCCTCGTCTATTTCAAGTTTACTTTTTTTTTTTTAATATATTAATTTACTAATAAACAAGAGGACAATGATTAACATATCTGAGGGGAGAGAGAGAAAAAAAAATTTCTCAGAACCTTAGAACACAATATCTTCTTTGTTATGCATCTATAATCCTTAAAGTGGCTGGATGACTTTTGCAAACCAAAAGCCTTTCCATAAAGCCTGCATCCACTTTCATTTCACTCAAATAAAACCTATAAATGCAAAGATCTTGCGAAACATGAAAAGCAATCCATGTTTACAGCAAATATGCTTTAGCAGATATATTTGATGGCTTAATTTCCATTGCGAAAGTAGAGACATCTTTGATTCATTTGCAGAAAGCTTTACCTTCTCCATGAAATTTATGAGTGTATCAGCATATTTATTTGGACAATTCCCACGAACAAATTGGAATGATACTTTGGCCATGTCCTACAATTATGAAAGTGTGGATGTGAATTATACCATTACTCTATAAGACCATGAAATAATAGACCAAAAATAAAATTACATCATATAGACCCAACATAAAAAAAAAAAAAAAAAAATTGAAAAAAAAAAGAAAGGAAATATTAATCACCCAAATGAAGATCATGCTTCTCAACAAAGATTTAACAGAACAATTTCTATAAGACAGGAAGCTTGGGCCTGTGCCATAAGTACGACATTAAACTGGTAGTTCAACTAGTTAATTCAAGAAGTAAACAAGTTATCTGGTTCATAGAATAGTCATGACCATGTCTTTAGAAGTGGATAGACACCTTCAATGACTGCTTGACTAAATGGATAGCAAGATAGACATCAGTCCCACAGATCAATTCACTAGGATAGAGCGCAGTTAAGAACAGTGATCTATACCTAAGACCTTACCCACAATCCTGCAACATCTTAGATCACAACTATAAAAAATCATTGAGTAGCTTTTCTGAAACTTGTCTTTCTATCACAAATTTTCTGCAAAGCTGTTTCTGGAGATATTATCTTAAATTTGGTCCAGCTTTCATAAATGTATAAATGACAAGTAACAACCTTCTGACCAAATTACTATTTAAAACTATCCTAAATGCTTCTAAACTAATCCCATCAAGACCAAATAAGGCAGAAGAAAAATTAATTCAGCAGACGGACTTGTAGTCTATACATATTCTAGCTTGACTAAACCATATCCAGTTACTAATCCTCACTTTTCTTGCCTCTCCCTTTTCCTTCTCATGATTATCGAAATAATGAAATCATACATATACCCAAAATGTTAACATAGACCCGAATATCCCCAAAACATTTGCAGGGATTGATTTTACATTGACTCTATAAATTTCAATGAAGAAGTGAGATGGAGAAAGAAAAACTAAAGATGGACCAAAGTAAACAAATGCCTTGTTCGGAAAATAGCATTTGGCCAACCATTTATAAATTGATGAATTTCCAATTGGTTGAAAAGTACTATTATGCTAACAATGCCTAATTATTGGCCAGCTACATGGAAAAAAAGGTCAGTTACATCTATTTTGCATACAAACAATTAGTACCGCCAACTAGCTATATATCAACAATTTATACTACTAGATGGTAAAACATGCAAGGTGAACCAAATAATAGCCAAAATGTAAGGCCGAACTAACCAATAGAAAGCTATAACATTGAATGTAATACGTATGAAAAAGGATTTATAATTCCTTCGTTCCTTTAATATTGCAACATGGAGGGAGTGCACAAGATTTTAGGTAGTGGGAAAAAGGAGAAGAGAGAAGGCTCAATTACAAGTTTACATGTGATTGTACGCATTAACTAAAGCAATAGCAAAAACAAGGTACATTGGGTATTTGCAGTGTGACAGGACATATGTGTTTTCCTAAAATAGGCATGTTGAAATGTTTGTGAAATTTCCTAAGAGGTAAATACTGCAATATTAAAGAAACGGAAGAAGTATGTATGGATGAGGACGATTAGGTTCTTCTTGGGCATACGTGATCAACCAAATGAAATCATTAATTGCAGATACTAGTGTAACACACAATATTAGTGATGAGCCAGCCCCAAACCAATACTCCTATGTCTGGGTGAGAAGTAAAGGTGTAATCTTCAGCTTCTACGTTCTTGGAAAAATCGTTTCAACTTTTTAAACTGAGGTGTTGGTCCAGGATTCTATGTTTGGGTAAGAACACTGAAAGCTAGGCCAAACACATACTATTTCAGCTTCTAAAATACTATCCTACCATCCTATTATTAAAACAATTTGGACAAAATACATAGTAACATAACAAAAACAGAAAAACAAGCACCATCACTTTTTCCAAAGCACACATTGTCTTTTCAGTAATATTACATTTAATCATCAATTAATAAGATTTAGCAATAAAAATGAGAGTTCAACAGATCATTGTTTAGCTTAGAACATGTAATTTAATTACGATAACCAAACAACCATGAATCTAACCAGTTGTTACCATTATTGCAGCCAGTTCAGTGTCAACTTGCCACCTCAGGTGTCTCGGAATATATGTACTCTGCAAGCATAGTATGTAGGTCCCAGGAACCATTTTTGTCAGGTCCAAGTTCAATAGACCACCTAAGCAATACAATCAAGTAGCACTTCAATAAGTTTTATTTCACAAAATATGATCATAATTCACAGTATCATTGCTTCCATTTAAAAGTAGTTAGTACACTCGTATTGTCCCAAAATAAGAAAATGACAAATAATCTCATTGATCGCTTAAATGCTTTTGAACGGGTGTCTTATATTCGAAAGAGAAGCATACGAGCCTAGAAATCTATTGACAGTTCAACACTTTATTCCATCATATTCACCTATACAATGTTACTAAATATTCCAAAGAATGCTAATAAACTTAATGGACAAAGATCATGAAAAGCATTGCTCAAGTTCACTGGTAGACATATGTAGTGTGCATACATGCAACTCAAGATCCTCTTAGTTAAACATTACTTGTTATTTCTCACCTAATAGCAGCCCTCAGAATAGAAGCACATGCCTCCACACGTATTTTAACTGTTCCCAGAACTTCAGAAAGCTTTTGCATGTCATCATCATCTCCAACATGATCTGGTACAGCATTTCGAAGAAATGCCTCGTAGATTTTCCTGAGATGGTCTAACAAAACTTACTTATTATAAGATCACACAAACAGATCATATTCTAAAAAATTTAGACCTAACCAAAATACCAAACAATAATTCCTCTAAATAAAATTAAAGCAAACAAAAGATATATACTGAATCAAAAATTAGTACAGACCAAGCAGATCGTCATTGTAAGGAAATTTTCCTTTCACAAATGTCTCTATGAACAACAATGCCAAGTTCAGCACCACAAGTAACCTAATCATATGCCAGATTTTAACCAATTGAGAAAACGCAATATACACACAGTTAAAAATGAAAGAATTTTACATCCAGCGAAGACAAAATCAGGCCTCATAATCTCACAGTCATATTTAGGCAAATTCACATATTTCAATAGATAAAGAAGCAAAATGACAAAAGATTGACCATGCATAAACTGCTAAAAGATTAGCCAATATAATGTCACCTATCAAGCACAAACGAAATCATCAACGAGATTAATTAAAGACCCATGTTCAACAGGTTATATATGTAAAATCTCATAGGAAGTAGGAAATTTAAGATATGTAACAACTTGGAGGTAAAGTATGACACATAGGCTTCTAAATTTCCAAATAATGGAAGTATCATCCTAAATCAACACAGTTTCATGGGACTTCAAGAATATATTAGGACAAAATAAAAGGATAATAACTTATGGAAAGAAATTGAGCTATCGTAATCTATCACTACAATGAATATGCCAAACATGGAATGATCTCCAACAGTGGCAATTATCCTGCAAATACTACACAACGAACATTTAAAGATTCCAATGAATCCAAGTCCTTCACTGGAGTAATAAAAACCTATATTATCTCCTGCTCATCTATTTAAGATTCCACTTCAAGCTTTATCCTAATGGCAATAATAACTAAAATATTAACTACCAACTACAGCCAAAAAAACTGAGAATGTCTTGAGCAGTCCCTTTGTTGCAGCTTGCTAGACACGGATAGTATAATCTGCAGATAGGACTCACAGGTGAATTGCTTCTTTTGGTGAGAGAAAATGCGAGACAGGGAAGAAGGGAATAAGAAAGAAAAGGTGCAACTCACAAGCCATTAATTAGATAAACTAAACCCAATAAAATTTACAAGTTACTAATCCAAAAGGTCATGAATTACAAATAAATTTCATCAATATCTGGTGTATGATTTATTCAAGTCAATAGTAAGTGAATTAATATAACTTTTCAATCTCATACAATACAAACAAGCAGTCAAATTCCCACATGAACTATTTATCAAGAAAGTGATCATAATCACATACATAAATTATAAATTCTACAGAAATGTCCTTAACCTATGTCAAGAAAGCGGCCATAATCACAAATCGGTGTTAAGTCCTACAGAAACTTAGCATAACTTTCAGCAATTGGACCACACTCTCAGCATACAAAAATCAAAAATCAATGTGTTATCTCGTTACTTGTTCAAATTACACAATCTATGTGACTATTAATTTCCGACAGCGGGAATTTTACGTGTCAATGAAAAGTAACTGACAATATTCATACCTAGCCCTAGTAGACTTGTACATCTGCTGAGCTCCATAAAAGTCCCCTCCATTTATAACTTTCTGCAACTTCTCAAAACTCTGCATGTGAAATCAAACATATTACCAACATTAACATCAAATTAACAACCTTTAAAAAAAAAAAATCACAGCAATCAGCTAAGCAATAAGAATTAAACCAAATTGAGATCATACAGAAAATTAATATGTGGAAAGCGGCAAAAGGATTAAAAATCAAAAAAACTAATTCAAAGATTGGGTTTTTACGTTTTTTTCCCTGCAATTCAGATATTAGAGTAGCAGAATGTAGGATAGAAAAACCTGCAGAGAAGCTTTTCTGGGTCGAGACATGTTCTTCGTATAAAGAGTAAATTTTGATTTGAGGGATTCTAATAATTGGGTAATTGTAATTTTGTAATGTTGAATTGAATTGAAGGGAAATTATGTTTGTATTGATCTGCTTTATAATGGAAGGTTATTCTCCATTGTCTTTGTATGCAGGGGACTAGGGGAGTGTCGTAGGCCAATGTCTTCTTCATCGTACCGACCAAACTCGAACTATTTAAGTTTAGTCTTAATACGGTTAGACCTTACACGAACCAAATAAAAGAGCAAATGAACTGAAAAAAAAAACCAAATAAAAGAGCAGATGAACTGAAAAAAAAATAGATTAAAGTTCAATTTTGTTCAATAGCAACATCAATAACAATTGTTATAAAATTGAACTCATCGACATGAATAATGACACAGTTATAGGGCGTTTGGTATGTGGAATGGGAATTAAGGGAATTAAGAGTGGGAATGGGATTGGGAATTAATGGTTGAGAATAGGTAAAATATGCCAATTACCTTGTTTGGTAATGTGTAGGGATAGTTCTTGTTCATCGACATGAATAATGACACAATTATAGGGCGTTTGGTATGTAGGAATGGGAATTAAGGGAATTAAGAGTGGGAATGGGATTGGGAATTAATGTTTGAGAATTGGTAAAATATGCCAATTACCTTGTTTGGTAATGTGTAGGGATAGTTCTTGTCCAAAAAAAAAAATTCAAATTTATTGAAATACCCTTCCTAACATTACTTCACACCCTTTTCATTAATGGTTGTTTGGGGTAAAAAAAATACCCTGGACACGTGGCCCTATGGCCAAGCGACACGTGGCACCCAGCCATTGGTCAGCAGGGCTCCAATCCCCTGCTGACACGTGTCGAATGAACCCTAAATGGGGAACCAAGACTCTCCATTATAAATAGTGGAAGGATCCTCATTAATGGGCATTCATAAATACATACACCAATCTTGAGCAATATTAATTGCAGAATTCTCCCATTACGTGAGAAGTAATTTTACTATTTACGCACACTTTTCCTCCTGTACGTAACTGACTTGATCGTCGGAGGCGGAGCTCCAACCAACCGGAGACTTCGTGGTTTTACAGGTACAAGCGGTGAAGGGCATTCTCGGAATTGTAACTTTCCCGTAGGACACATCAAAAAACCCCGAAACATTTGGCGTTGTCTGTGGGGAGAGTACTTTTGAGATGACTTCTAACCCTGTACCACCGGATCAGGACAAGCGGTCGTTGGCCGAGCCTGAGGTCCAGACGGACCATGAAAGCGGTGACGACTATGAAGTCAACACCTATGTGGCCCCAGATGGGTCCTTCAGAACAAAACACACCCGTTCCAGGGATAAGAAGGAACGGGATAACAACCAAGCTGCCCCAAGCAACCCAGCCGGCAACCCGGTTGGAGCTGCCCAGGCGGCAGAAGGATCTGCTCCCGTCACCAGGAACGAACTCATGACCTTCATGAATAGTTTCAAGGCGAGATCAAGAACCTTATTCGGTCAGCTACTCCCAAAAAGAGTCAGCCGGCCAAGAAGCCTTCTTCTGGGAAGAAGATGATCAAAGACCGGGTCCCTACCGCTCACCCAAAGCCAAAGGAGGGGGGGGCCTCAGGTTCGATCAAAACAGGCTCCGCTTCCCTCAAGAAGAACTCAGAAAACCCATCCGGCACTTACAGCCAGATGGTTCCAAGAAGACTTTCTTTGATGCCCGGACGTTCCTCCAGGAAAAGAGAAGTCAAGTGTCTGCGTCGCTTCGACGTCGACCTTCCCATACAGTTTCCGTGACACCTCTAACAGGCGTACGGGAACAAGCCTAGGGAGTCAGACGGGCGAACCCTCCGCCCGGTCTGGACCCCAAGTGATCCATCCTGGTCTATTTGGTTCGCCAAATGGGCTGGGTGGATCCCCTTTTACCCAGCCGGGTCTCTTTGGCGGGCATGTGCAGCAGCCGTACCAGCTCATGGACTGGCAGCTGCGCCTGCTAAATCTGGGAGAACAGCCCACAGCGTTCTCCCCCAAGATAACCCAGGCGGCACAGCCGGCTAAGGTTAAAAACGTGTTGGTAGGGGCCTATGATGGTACCTCCAACCCAGAAGACCACCTAATGGCCTACTCTAACCTCATGTACCTACAGGGGTTGGACGATGTCGTCTGGTGCCGATGCTTCCCGGCTACCCTGAAGGGCATTGCCCAACGGTGGTTTGGTAATCTACCAGCCGGCTGCATCAACAACTTCAAAACTTTGGCGTACTTATTTACGTCAAATTTTTCAATGAATATCCCTGCCAAAAAGACTAGCCTTGATCTAAGGGCAATACAGCAGGGTGACAGAGAAGGGCTCCGGTCCTACGTCAGACGGTTCAATCTGATGAGAATTCAGATTCAAGGACTGTCTGACGAAGTTGCTTACACAGACTTCTTTAAGGGTCTGAAGGATGGGTCGACCTTTGAGTTCGACCTCGTCCGGAAAAGGGTAGCCACCCTTCAAGAGGCGTTAATGGAAGCTGAAGCCTATATACAGGCGACGGAGCTTTGCGCTGTAAAGCAGCCGTCGGATTCCAAAAAATCCGATAGAAAAGATAGCCGGCAACAGCAGCAGCCGGCTAAAAAGGAATAAAAGAAGAGAAAAGAGGTCTGGGCGGCAGACCAACCTGGGCGGCAGACCGACCTGGTCAGCCGGCTCAGAAGCTCAGACGGAAGTCAGAACCATACGTTCCCAAGTACGAGTTCATGAAGGACTACTCCTCCATCCTCATGGAGATGAAAGACCGGATGTCTCTCGAGAAGCCGACTGCGATGAAAAGTCCCGTAAGCAACCGGGACAAGAGCAAATACTGCCAGTATCATGAGGACGTTGGCCACGACACTAATGGTTGCTATAGCCTCAGGCGGCTATTAGACCGTCTGGCTGATGAGGGGGCTCTGAAGTCCTATCTGCCCAAAGCCAAGAGTAACACCCATGCAAAGAAGGGGCAAACGGCTAAAACTGTGCTCACCAACTCTGAGACGGATGAAGAGACTATCTTCACCATAGCAGGCGATTTTGCCAGAGGGGGTCCCACCATTAGGGGCACTAAAGATAACATCAGGAAGCTGGTCAACTCAGTGGATGAGAGCCAGGCGTCGAAAGACACTTTTCCTGAGGTCCTTATTTCTGGAAAGGACCGGGGCAAGGTCAGGTGGCCTCATGATGATCCCATAGTCATCGAGTGTAAGGTTGCCAATCAGAGGGTTGGTCGGATCCTAATAGATACCGGGAGCTTGTCTGACCTGATCAGTTATCAGTGCTTGACCAAGCTCAAGTACAAACCCAGTAACATGCACCAGGCGCCTCACCCACTAGTTGGTTTTGGGGGGGGGAGTAGTGCATCCGGTAGGAAGCATAGATCTTCCCATCCGGCTGGGTGAAAAGGGGGAAAGACGCCACATGGTTGTAAAATTTTTAGTTGTAGAAGAGCTGGCCGCCTACAACATGATCTTCAACCGTCCGACCCTCAACGAATCCAAGGCTGTCATCGTCCCCTCGCTCATGCTCGTTAAATTTGAAAAGGATGATGGTACAGTCGGTTCCCTGAAGGGGGACCAGAGGACGGCTAGTGAGTGCTATCTCTCTGACGTTAAACCAACCACGGGGGCAGCCGGTGACGGCAAGCCCATAGACTTTGATAACTGCGATACAGCAGTCCCGGCTCCAAGGGCAGCTGGTAGGAAAAGAAAGACGGACCAAACGAAACCCGTCAAACAAGAAAAATAGCAATCACTAGCCGGGGAAAGGTCAGATGACCAACGACCTCAGTCGGCTGGTGACTGCCTCGATGTCGTCTTAGACGACAGCCGCCCTGACAAAACCGTCAAGATTGGGACGGTTGCTTTTGAACGGTTGGGAGCAGACCTGCTTCAACTTCTGAAGGAATTCAAAGACATCTTTGCCTTTGAAGTAGAAGAGATACCAGGCGTCAGCCCGGATCTAGCCATCCACAAGCTCGCCGTGGACCCTAAAAAGAAGCCGGTCAGGCAGAAAAAGAGGGATCATGGTGAAGAAAGATCTCAGGCGGCGGCGGCTGAGGTCAAAAAACTGTTAGATGCTGGGTTCATCCGGCAATGCTACTACCCGGATTGGGTAGCAAACGTTTTCCTCGTGAAAAAGCCGAATGGTACCTGGCGGATGTGTGTAGACTACACAGATCTGAACAGAGCATGTCCCAAGGACAGTTACCCGCTTCCAAAGATAGACAGTCTGGTCGACTCGACAGCCGGTCATGCTCTGATGAGTTTCATGGATGCCTATTCGGGTTTCCATCAAATACCCCTGTGGAAAAAAGATCAAGAAAAGACGGCCTTCGTCACTGATCAGGGGTTATTTTGTTACAAGGTGATGTCGTTTGGGTTAAAGAATGTGCCGGCTACATTCCAGCGCATGATAAACACAGTTTTCATCAACCAGATTGGCAGGAATGTAGAGGCGTACATTGATGACATGATAGTCAAATCCAAGCTACAGACGGATCACCTACTAGACCTCCGAGAAACATTCACCACACTCAGGCGGCACCGGGTCATGCTTAACCCAAAAAAGTGTGTATTTGGTGTTGAGTCTGGGAAGTTCCTCGGATTTTTGATCGATCAAAGGGGCATAGAGGCTAATCCGGAAAAAGTACAGGCGGTCATTGACATGCGGTCTCCCCGCACTGTAAAAGAAGTCCAGAAATTGACCGGTTGCCTGGCGGCGTTGGGGAGATTCCTCAGTCGGTCAGGCGACAAGTGCCTCTATTTCTTCCAGGCCATCTGGAAGAGGTCCAGATTTGAGTGGGGTGAAGAGGCGGAAGTGGCATTCCGGAAGCTAAAGCAACACTTGCACTCTTTGCCAAGGCTAGTGAGCCCCCTACCCCAGGAGGTCCTCTACATGTACCTAGCTGTCTCTGATCACTCCCTCAGTGCCGTCCTCCTTGCTGAGAGAGACGGTAACCAGCTCCCGGTGTATTTCATCAGCCATGTTCTTAAAAATGCTGAGCTCCGGTACCCTATGATCGAAAAATTTGGGTTGGCCCTGTTCGTAGCAGTCAAGCGGTTGAAGCCTTACTTTTTGGCTCACCCGGTGGTTGTATATACAGACCAGCCGCTCAAACGCCCAATGACCACCATCGAGTCATCCGACAGAATGATCAAGTGGGCTGTTGAAATACAAAGCCTTGAGATAACTTTTGAACCCAGGAGGACAGTGAAAGGTCAGGCGTTTGTTGACTTCATTGTCGAGATGACTAGACCGGTGCAACCGGAAAATCCTGATCAGGTTTGGAAGTTATTTGTAGACGGTAGTTCTACCGTGAACGGCTGTGGTGCAGGCGTTATATGCCATTCTCCGGAAGGGGATAAGTTTGAATATGCACTACGGTTCAAGTTCCAAGCCTCAAATAATGAGGCAGAGTATGAAGCCCTGCTAGCTGGTATACGCATGTGTAAGGCGACAGGGGAAAGAAAAGTTAGCGCCGCCTCATACTCTCAGTTGATCGTTAGCCAGTACCATGGTGACTACGAGGCCACCCATCCGGCTATGATCAAATATCTGCAGGCGGTCAGAGAGGAGGCTGTGTCACTTGACACATTTCATCTAAGTCAGGTGCCCCGGTCCGAGAATAATCAGGCGGATGCCCTTTCCAAATTGGCATCATCCGCCTCCTGTGATGCACCTAGGACAGTCTTTTGGGAAGTCATTGACAAAAGAAGCATTGATCATGACCCCATTGGAATTCTGGA